ATAAGTAGGCTAATAAAATAAAAGAGAAGCAAAAAATCTCGACGTAGTCTACTAAAAAAAAAAAACAAAAAAACAAAAACTACAGGATTTAGCGGAACGAAGCTGAGGTTGAGCAGCTTTGAGTTGATGTTGAGATTGAGTATCTGCTGGCGCTATGCTGCTTGTATATACATACATATCTCAACAATCGTGATACTCGTTTAAGTACGCACATCCATACATACATAGGTATATATTTGTATACAGTTAGGTTACTATCGAAGCATTTGTATCTAAAGCTGATTTGTGGTATGCTACTTTAAACGCCTGTGCGTGTGAATAATAACACCACAATCACGACTGGCAGACAGACAGACGACTGGCAGGCAATATATAGCAAGCAAACTGCGTGTACTAAATTTATTGACAGTGAAGTATTTGTAGTGGGCTAAGAAAGAAGACAGGCAGAAACGGCGAGCGCAGCACATAGATAGTGAGTTTGGCAAGACGTTGGCTATATACATACATATGTATGTGCGTCTGTATGTACGTCTATGTTAGTTGCGAAGCAAGTTGCAAGTAGACCGGAAACAGTAGATGACGCGAGCAAAAAATTTTAGAAGAGATAGGAGGCAATATATATGTATGGAGCTAGTATGCTACGATGAATGCTGGAAAGACCGCAAGGCAATAGAAAACTTTGTTATTGGAGGCCAGAGGCAGCAGTTCAATGACTGATAAACGAGAGATGTGTATAGATAGGTGATGAAAGGTGGAGGAAGCACAGAACGAGGAGGGCAGTGGGAAGTTCAGAGATTGCTAAGGGTAAAGCATTTGAAGTCCATTGGAATGAGAACAATGTGGTAAGAAGGATATCCTGTGGCATAATTTTAAGCGCACCAATGCGAGAGGGCCCTGGCGCGTACGACCTTTTTGCGCAGGAAGGCGTTTCTTATACTTAACTTTTTTTGAATTTTTTCTACTTAATTTTTTTCTACGTACAAAATACTTTTGTTTGGCCCAAATGATAATTTCGCCCACAAGAAAAAATGCATTGTAACATGCGATAAAATATGATTTTTTTTTTTTTTTTTGTGTAACTAGGGATCTCTGCTCAATATTTTACCAGTTGATGCTTTGGGGGGGGACGGGGGGGAGAACAAATTTACATGGCAAAAACAATAATTTAGCCACATGAATCGTTATAAAACAAGCTTCAAACTTTGTGGAATATGAAAAAAAAAATACAATACAATTTCGTAAAATTTTTTACCTTTTTAATTAGATTTTATAGAAAGATTATGAGTATGCAGTCTTGTAGCTTATTCAATTGTAATGAATTGTATAACAAGGTGTAAGTTCGAAATAGCCAGGACTTACCGTTGATTTTTGGAATTTGGTTTTGTTGAAAGTGCTCATTTTCTTGCATAAAAAAAAATTCAAATATAGTTTGTATGAAATATCATCAGAAAAAAATGCCAAAAATTAACAGCTTCTTCACGCGTGACCTTTATTAAACTAAAATTGAATAGGCTGCAAAACTGCGCACCCAAAATATTTCTAAAAAATATAAAAAAAATGATTTTTTTTTTTAATAATGCGCAAAGTTCGAAACGGATTCTATCTCCTCCTCATATCTGCAGCTTCTGCAGAAATTGTTATACGGGGCTCCAAACCTGGCGGTCATGTGGCCAATGGTCCAGTGTCTCGTTAGTATTCCTGTGAGAAGCCTAACGCTTGGCGTTGAAAGCCTTAATAATTAGCATGTTCTTCGATGGTTGCACTGGTCACTCTCTCAACTTCCGACGACAGAAATCCCAGGGGAGGTTTTACGATCTGGGTCACTTCCTCAAGTCATACCTCAGATCCCTTTCTAGCACATTCGTCCGCTCCCTCATTTTTTGGGGAACCACTATGTCCGGAAATCCAGTAAAGATTTATTATGTGTGGCTGTACAGCTTGTAAAGATTCCTTGACGCATATCGAGTTAGTTGTTGCCGATGCTAAGGCTTTGATGGCAGCTTGACTGTCAACAACGAAGGCAAGTTTAGATTGAGCTAGGTCGACCTAGCAGACCAGCCGCCATGTAGAAAAAAACTGCAGTGATTTGGGAGTCTATAGGACTCTCTCAGAGATAACTCCTGGGGAGAAGACGTCAGATCCTGTTCCGATGTACATTTTGGAGCCTTCCGTGAAAATAGATATTTCGTCATCGCTGAGAGCTTTATTAAATGGATATCGAAATTTCGATCGAAGTCAGTTTCAGTGACCTGCTCGTCACAGATACTGTACTCCACACCTACTCCAAGTAAATGATAAATCTTTCAGACAATGCGTCAAAAGTAAGTGAGCGAAGGGTGATCGAAAGGAGATATTAAAGGATTTTAAGGAGCCTTGAAACTGTAAATTTTTCGTTAGGTTTGGTGTGCGTTTCCTCCACTATTTCTCAAATGGCGTATGCCAAGTTTAATTGAAGTAATAAATTGTTGGGTTCCTCCTGGAATCTTTAGATCGTTAATCTATTACCATGATATGGGAGTAAGGTTGGCGTTTTGACCACCCCTCTAAATTTATTGTCACCGAAATAACTACTGTGCCTCGGATAATATCAAATCTTTTGTTGACGACTTTTGGCTATCAACGTTGCTAGACGTCGTGTACTTCACAAAGGAAAGCTGTCTGAGACCTTCGCTGTTCATAGTAGGATTCGACAAGGTTACATAGTCTCACCTCTTCTCTTTATTTTGGTGTTTGGGAATGTGTTGGATGCTGCCATGAGGCCACTCCCCGACTACGTACTTCGATGGTCCAGTGCAGCACATTGACTAAGCTGATGACATAAATATGGCGCACCGTCTTTCTTTAATGTCTTCAATGGGTACATGGAAACAAAGGGCCAAGATTCCAAATATGCCAGCAAGGTGTAGTGGTGACTTGTTAAGTCTCCCACCAAGCTCTTGAGACTGTGAAGAATTTCACATGCCTTGTCAGCGAAGTTGCCCCCGTGGCGGCACTGATGAAGACATTGACCAGGAAATAAATAAGTAAAGCTAGAGCGGCCTTTGGCATGATGCATACGTTATGGCAAAAAAACAATCTAAGTTCCAACTTAAAGATGAGGCTTTTCAAATCGAATGTGCTCTCGATACTGCTGTATGCCAGTTTAGCCTAGAAAGCCACTACTGCAATAACCAGGCGTCGGCAAGTTTTCGTAAACAGATGTCTAAGAATGATTTACCGATTTTTTTGGCAGTATTGCAAAGAAGTCCTTGGAATGGAATTAGCTAATCGGCAGAGACCGACCTCCCGGCAGACCTGTGAAACGTGGAAGAAAACAGTCGATCGAGAGGCGAAGCAACTCGGGTTAAGGTGAAAGGAGCTTAAAGCGATTGCTAGTACTATTTAGATTTTGTCAAGGCGTAGTAGATGCCTTAAGTGCTGCTTGGGATTAAATGAAACGAAGAAGAGGATAGGAAGTTTAGTGGGCTTAACATCGGAGTTCACGTTTTAAGCTCTAATAAAGTCGATAAAGAAATCGAATGCGTAGATGTGGTGAAACAGCATATAATTGGCTGCATGCCGACCGTAAGCAATAAGCTCTGCGTACCACAAAAAGATGGAGCGAAAACAAAAATATATTTATGAAGCGATACTACTAAAACTATTACTGAACCATTTACTATAGGGCAAAAGTTGTCTATAAGGGAACTCATTTAGGTTGATGCAAAAATCGGTTTCTTGGGGTAATCCTTGATAAACCCTCACCTGAATATCAAACAAGGCGATGAGAGTCCTAACGAAGTTTGCTGACGACTCCATATTCCATATGCTCTATGCTAATATGCAGTTCCTAAACTAGAAATCTCTAATAACTTCAAGGTATCCACTGCGGATTGAGATCTCTGGAATACCGGGGCATGATAGACTAGATGGCAACGAAGAGGCGAACCGACTAGCAAAATATGGAGCCACAATGGTATTGCATGCACTGGAACCCTTTTGTGGGCTAGCCAAAGCACACATATAGGGTTTGGGGCGGTCATAAACAACTAGGAGGATAAAAAATTCAACAAGCATTACATTAAATGTCTTGGCCAGAGGCAGGCTCAGCGGTTCATTTGGCCATCGAAAAAACTCCTTAATTTAGGCGGCGAGAGCATTCGAACTACTACTGAGTATCTCACTTGGCACTGCTCCCTTTTCGAATACCTCAGTAAGTTGTATCTCTCTAACATGCACGTATGTCGCTATTGTGTGCTGGACGAAGAAACGCCAGAACATATTCTTTGGTAATGTGTTGCCTTTGGAATTGCTAGCCTACATTATGAGCCTTCACTTTTGGAGTGTACATACAGTATTGGCCAAATCTATAGCACCCGCATTTAAGAATGATATTGTTTGCCACTTATGTTTAATTATTAATTTTTAAGAATTTTCAATTAAAATACAAATCATTCTCTAACAAAATCGATATGTATAAACCCAAGTTTTAAACTTTGTAAAAGACTAAAAAAAATTCAACAAATTTTCACCCAAATTTGAAACTTTTTTCTCAGAAGTGTTAGATTTTGTTTGGGTACGCAGTCTCAAGCAGCTGAAAATTACCGTTGATTTTTTCGTTTTTTTTTGTCACATTTGTTTCAATATAACGAATAAAAGTAATTTTTAGCAAAAAAAACCGACTTAAAAAAATATATATATATGTATATAAATTTCATGATCCAATGATCGGATCTAAGTCAGATTAGTATGGGACCACCTCTGAGACTCCGATGCAAAACGAATTATCGAAATCGGTTGACGTGGTCCAAAGTTATGCGGTAACATACATACATAAAAAAAATATTTATATATTCCGACGAACTGATAACCAACCTCCTCCTTTTTTGGAAGACGGTTAAAAAGTGCTAAAAAAAATTAAAAAGAAATCAAGTCCTTCCGTTTTCAGCACTTCTTTTAAGTATCGACGACGACGACTAAGTTCAAATACTGAAGAAAAAAGTTTGCATATTCAAGTTACTGAGGGTGTTAGTTAGTTAACTATCTTTTTAGGTAGATAAAGTGATTTCAATATTTCAGGTCATTAAAATGTCAAAACATAAGACATATATATGTACATATCTAGTAAATACAAGCGCCAACAGCGTCCACCAAATATTAAATTGCTTTAATTTTCCTCCAAGCATTGCACCAATTCATGAACATTTCAGAAACCATACTTTTGT